ATTCTACCATGACAGGTAAATAGTTTAACACATTGACTTTTTAAGAATGCTAGACCCACAGACCCACCATTCAAACATGATAAACCATAAATGCAACATGTACAAGTTAATCCTTATGGGTTTATTTCCAATTACCCAAATGAACTACAAATCCTACTTCATAGCATAGGCAATGACATGGGCTTTCAGGCACTGGTTTGAAACTAAATGGATCTGAATTTTCTAGTCCCATCTCCTACCTGTGAAAATGACAACCTCTCTAAGCTTCAAATTTCATCATCTGGAAAATGAAGATAACCAAAAAATGGAGATTAACTTTTCAGGGCTTTAAAGGAATTAAATTATATAGTGCACATTTTCTGCTTATAATAATACTTAACAGAATAATAATAATACTTAACAGAAATACTTAACAAATAATACTTAACAGAAGTTAGTTCTCTTATCTCTTTACAAATAACATTATTGGAGCTAGCAGGTGGTGGGATGGTTAAGACACAGGACTCCCACATGAGTGACTATGGTTTGAGCCCTAGACCTGGTACCTCAAACATTACGCCAGGTACTTGTGCATGCATGCCTAAAATTCTGGGAAGAGAATGGAAGAGGAAGTACAGAATTATTTCCCCCCCCCAGGGGATAATTTCTCACTTTTTTTTTCTCTGTCACTGGCTAACACACATGACCTATGGCAAAAACCTAATAAAGAAAAGAAAAAAATTACATGGTTAATTAAATATGCCACCTGCTTTAAAAAATAATATTAGGGGCCAAGGTTCATATCCCAGGCCTTCTCTGTGCATATCAGGTGTGTGTGTATGTGTGTGTGTGTGTGTGTGTGTGTGCCTATGATCTGGGCATGAAGCTGAGACTGGCATGAAGATATTGTTGGGGCTGCTCTCTCTCTCTTTCTCTCTCTCTCTTCCTCTCTTTCTCTCTCTCACTCTCCCTTTTTCTCTTTCTCTCATGAGAAAAGGAAATTTTAAAAAATTAAAATAGTGTAATAATACTGGGAAAAAAATAAATATGTCAAGAGATATTGAAGTGTCATGGAGATGCAATGATATATCACTGTATTTTGCAAATAATATTTTCTTAGTTTTTAAAAAATAATCATTTTTTAAATTTTTTTTATTGATATTATTATTATTCGGAGAGGTTTTTGCTATAGGGCACGTGCACTCACCAGAATGACTGCAGTAAGATATATAATCCCAGCTAGGTGCTACTTTATATAAGTTAGACTTTTGTTCATGGAAATGTATATATCAACTGTGTTTGCTATGAAAATATTTAGATTAATTAAGATCTTTAGTAATTCAATAAAATGTGGGGCGGGGGAACAGTATAGAAAGCAAACATAGACACCAGAGACAGTGTGGGAGGAGAGTGGGAGATGGCAGAGGGTAAGAGATAGGGAATCAAGGATGGGGGGAAAAAAGCAAAACATACAGGAAACAAGAAATGGAAAATTATTTGTTGACAATAACATGTATGTTGATGTGCTTGATTGAGACAATATACAGTTTACTCTGGATGGAAAATCTCATTTTGTATGCTGTAATGTTGTACAGTGAATGAATGTAAATTAATAAATTTAAATTTAAAAAAAGGATAGAGAGAGACAGACAGAAAGTGAGAAATCACCCCCCTCCCCAGGGGGATGGCCATGCCACAATCCCTTCTCCTCCATTCTTCTCTCACGATCTTGGGCACGCATACACACACACCTGGAGTGAGTTCAAGTGACCAGGTGTGGGACTCAAACTAGAGTTGACCACATGGGAGTCCAGTAACATAGCCATTACACCAACTTCTGGTTCCAATTGGTATCATTTTTTTTATTTGACCAGAGAAAGAGAGCTAGAAAGTGAGAAAGCAAGCCACCGGGTCCAGGACCCGAACTGCAGTCAGCCATATTGGAGTCCAGTGCCTCAACCACCACACACCTATCGGTTCCAAGATTTTTTTTTTTCCTTTGGAGAGGTTTTTCGCTATAGAGTGCATGCGCTTGCCAGAAAGACAGAGAGAGACAGAGAGACAGAAAGCGAGAAATCACCCCCCAGGGGGGATGGCCACACCATAATCCCTTCTCCTCCATTCTCCTCTTGGGATCTTGGGCACGCACGCACATGCGCCCGGCATGAGTTTAAGTCATCGGGTCCGGGACAATAACCGCGGTTAACTACGTAGGAGTCCAGCGACATAGCCATTATGCAACTGCTGGTCCCCCAAGATTTTCTTATTTTTAAAAGAAATTAGTCATGTGTGAAAACTACAGGATGAACTTAGCACTTTGAAGATTCATGGTGGCCAAATACACGAAATGACTAATTCAATATTTTATGCTCTAATTACAAAATTATTTTCACAGACGCACACTATCATCAAATATAACTCTCAACCACATGATCAGAATTAATCACCATTAATTTGTCTTAACTATTTTCATAACGATGTGCCTCTAGCTATCGGTCATCTCATTTCCTGATTACAGTCAAGAAAAACAGTGAAGGAAGCGAAATGACAGGATCACATAAATTCTACACAGTAAGAAAAAATAAGACACAGACCTGCCGTCATGGGACACGGGAATGTAGTGGTAAACAAACACAAAGAGCTGTGTTGTATTTTAAACTGGAGAGGTTGGCTGGAGAAAGCAGAGGTAACAAATGACATATTTTTTCTTTTTGTTTTACCCAATGACCTGAGATTGGAAATCTATAAAAGATGAGGTGTCCGATCAGAAAATCCAGCTGATCTACCCTTGGACAATTGTGTGGATTTGTCTTTTGAGCAATGGTTACTTAAGCTGGATGCAATAGGCAGGAACATGAGTTCAGAAGGGATAAAAGGGCAACCAAGACCAGAAAAAAATAGAGACAGTAAAAAACAAATAGGAGTAGTTAGCCTGTAGGTGCTTAGATCTTGTGTTTTAATTTGGCAAACTTGCTGTGGTGCCATTTTGAGCCACCTTCACAGATGAGAAGTAGGAGACAAAGATCATTCTTGGCAAGACTAAAAAGTAACCCCCTTTCGCAGTAATCACAGGGGATGCCTCATGCTTCAGTCTGGCAATGAGGAGACTGAAGTTTGCAGCATAAACCTAAAGTCTCATTGATTCATACCTCCAAGGTCTCCAGGAAGATTCAGTAACCCAGGGCAGATGCTGGCAAGGTCTACGTCACTCATCTCAAGACACTTTCCCTCTTCTGCTTTTGGTTCGTTCCTCCTTTGCGCTTTTTGTACTATTGGTGTCTGTAGAGGGCATTTGCTCAGAGAGTGGCTCTGTTGTGTGATATGAATCGTGCCATTCATCCTAACAGGATTTGGTGGCAAGTAGGGTAATTAAGAATAGAAAAAATGCCAACAGCAAGAGCGGACTGGCATAAAAGACCAGATTCCTGGGCTGAGCAGGTTACTTGCCTTTCTGGGGAGAGGCTTTCAGTAATTGGGTGTGGGCAGCAGAGAGCACAGATGAATAGATGTGTCTTTCAGGGTGGACACACAACCCACAGCGCTCACGGTGAGGCACCGTCCTGCCGGGCCTTGCCTTCTTGTGAACAGATAGCTGGTGATGGAAGCTTAGCATCTGAGTGGAGAAAATGGTTTGCAAGCTCCAGAAAGGAACATTCACTATGTGACCAGCACCTACAGTGAACTTCAAGGTGCTTTTCTCCAAAGATACTGTAGTCCAGCCTCCCCCACCCATGTCAAAGCACAAACAAAACTGAGGAAAATCAGGAAACTGAAATCCAGAGAAAGCGACCTCCCAATGTTCCTCAAAATATCAAACACTTCAAAGGAAAGAAAACGCTTGAAAGGATGTGGGATCTGCTTTTCCACTTGAGAAAAATCACATACTCCAGCTGAATATTAAATCCCAGGAAAGAAAGGGCCAAATTTGATTCTGTCTTCTCTCTATTCCCACCTTCTCTAAGCCTTTATCAGAATCCAATGGAGGAGTGATTTACTACATGTTAAACAGAATCTTTTTTCTCTGTCAAGCTGTAAATTGCATTGAATAGTTTTTCATGATTTTTAACTTCACCAACATGAAATTAGTAATAATTTATGGATTATTACACATGAGACAAAATTTCTGAAGTTACAAGCTAATTTAGATGAAAAGTAGTTTCTCTAGAAATAAAAGTCTTCTTCTTTTTTTTTTTTTTTCTTTTATTATCATCATAATCTTCTTTCTAGATGAAAAGTAGTTTCTCTAGAAATAAAAGTCTTCTTCTTAATCAAGGGGAGATTTATCATGACTCTTTCAGGGTCTTGAAAATAAAATCAACGTCCTGAACAAGGCTTTCTCTATTTGAATCTTTTTTTTTTTTTTAACAGGTTTTTGCT